CTTTATACCATTACCAATCCCCCGAGCCACCCAGTCCTTCTCCATTGCATACAGGTTTTTAGTGTTGTGCCTTAAGATCTGTTCTGGTTCTGAGTAACGTTCTTTGTGATGGGAGTCTTGCCACTCCCCCTCTCATGAGGGGGAAAAAAAAAATGAGGAGGGAGTGTGAAACCTATTTTCAAACTCTGTTATGATTATCTGATGCAGCTAGTACTCTTGGAGTCTCTGGGGGAGAGACTTCAGTCCTGGGGAATGTCTGTCTTCGGTGAAGAGCAGGCTCCAGCCCGGTCAGTGCCAAGATCTTCAGTCCGTGCTGCTGGCTTAGCTTGGTGGTAGCCCTTGCACAGGAGTACTCGCACGCTGCCAGAGACCCTCACGGGGATGGCAGTGAAGCTTTCCGGGCTGTCTGCAGGCTGACTGGGCCAAAGTGCCCACACAGGTTGGTCTGGTCTTGAGTGTTTGCTCAGGACCATGCTTAATGGCAGCATAAATACACCCCCGGAGCGGGGAGAAGGTACAATCAGCGAGCCCCCATAGCATCTGCTCTCAGCTGGTTTCCATCTGAACTATCCACCTAAAGAGTTAGAAGCTAAATTGTGCCATCTCTGCAGCTCCTGTCCTCCAGCTCAGCAAAGTGACACACTGTGATGTTATACCCGTGCAGATTTCTCTTCCAGTATCTTTTCTCTCAGACCCCTCACAAAGCACATCACGTAGGGCAGCCGCTTTTCCCCACAGAGACCTAGCTGCAGGATACTTAACAGTAGCACACTGGTACCCAGCCCTCACGAAAAAAGGCTGTAAGCTGCTGATCCTGCAATAGCACCTCTAAGGATTTAGCGTCTTTAATGTTGATTGATGAATATTTCTGTTCCCATCTGAATCATTCCAACAGTTGTTTCAAGTGAATGTATTCATTCCCCTCCTTTTAACTATTGGGAGCTTCTTGCTTGGTCTGGGAGCAAGGAAGAGGGAATGAAAGGGTCTCTTCAAATTTGCTGTAGCTGCTCTCTTAAAAGAGAGCATTGACAGGGATTCTGCAGCTCTCGCGTGCAGCAAGGCTCCCCGAGGACTCGCACACGCAGCGAGACTGCGGGATCCATGTGGGCACTCCGGGAAGAGTGTGGCTATTCTCCTCCCCGCCGGGTGAGAGTCTCGTATCTATTCCTAGCGTGGATCAACCAGGTGGCAGCATTCCCCTGCCAACATACCTTTGGTTTGGCTTACCTTGAAAGCTATGATGTTATATTATATTATGATGTCATTATATTTATTTCAACTTTCAGTGAAGATTCCTGGCAAACCTCCCAAGTCGGAATATCTTCTTTTTAATGGATCCAAGATCCAGCCAACATGGTGCAGATTACATTTATATAACACAACCCAAGTAAGGTGAACTGCTAGGGATTTTTTTAACAGCTGTTGATGTTACTAAATTAAGATTATTTCTCTGTTAAAACTATGGAAGAGGAAAAACTTGTCCTGTGTTTATACAAACACTACTGCTCAAATTTCTAGCTGTGGTTATTTTTGTGATGACTCCATCATGCACTCATGCAATCTCAAGAATTTTTCTTTGTGGTGGTATTTTGAAAAGGATAAAATTAATCAAATATATTTTTTCAGTTAAGTATGCGTGTGAGGATGCCACACTTTAATTGTATGTGTAACAAAGTTCTCCTAGTTTGTTCTTTTTCTTCACACTATCTGGACTAATTTTCAACGAGCTTATTACAAGCGTTTGGACAACTTACTCTGGTCTACTTTTTTATCCTTTTACCAACTGTGTTACTCCTAGCACTTTCAAATCAGCCTACAACATCACAACTTCCGTTAAAAGTCACATGCTTTTCCTGATAAACAGAAGTATCAAGCATTTGAGAATGCTACATAAGATACTGTTCTGCACTGGCAAAAAAATAATGGCTCAGGCACTAAAGCCAGTACCATGAAGGAACCCCCCCTTGAACGTTGGGCCTTAGCTTTACTAGATTTCGCATAAGCCCATGGTGTGAGAGAACAAATCCTTCTGGACAAAGACTAACTGCTCTGATGAAGCAGACGAAGTCCTGTACTCCTCATAAGGAACTGCAGCACATAGACTAAAGGACTCAACCGAGGTTATGCAGTTTATGGCGGATGTTGGAATGAATTTAAACTTCCAGTATTATGCTTTAAGACACTAAAATTGCAAAAGAAGAAACTGAAGGGTAACTAAAAGCAAAATTTCAATCTTTCCCTTCTTAATTGTTCCCACAGTGGTCTCTGTGAGGTCTTATGATGCCACTACCAAGATCAGCAAACAAAATTGGCTGTATTATGAATTGATTTAAATTTAAAAGAGCCGTAATTCAATTTTCCTTTAAAAGCATACTACAAAATCTAATATTAAAATGATTTGCATAGAAACATTCATCAGAAAGATGTTTTATTTGTTTGGCTTGAAACACTTCCACTACAAGCCAAACATTTCAACACTAGGGCAGGAGGACCAGAAAGTGAACCTGACCAGAAATTACAGTGAAAACTACTAGTTTATTTTTGGTCTAACAAAATTTAGTTATTTATTTAAAAAAAAAATATCTATCACGGGCCTTGCTGATGGTGAAACTTCATTTTTTTTAACCCAAAATATTCTTGTAAATTTATTAGTAACAGGACATTGTTAGTTGAGAAAGCCTGTATGTACATGCCTTACCAGTTACAATAACTCCCAGATTAAAAATAAGAGTGATATGGTGATAGATATTTAGACTATATTAACAACACACTTACTTTACACTCACATAACATCCACAAACACACACGCATCTCCGCACACATAAAAATCTACAACCTTTAAGCAGACAGCCAAAGGTGGTTTCCAGATGAAGTCTCTGTTTGCCCCATTGCTCGGATCGCAGACAGATAAATCACTCGGTGAGTCCCCTCGCTAAGTATTGGGAACACTACTTTAGTAAAGTTTGCTAATGGGGCAAAGGACCTTGTATTGTAATCCAGTGACATTTTCAACCTTCGGAGAACTTTTGTTGACATTCCCGAGTCCCTGGCTGCCATCCCAGCATGAATAGTTTCTGTTCACATAATTCTCGTGTTTACCAGTCATGAAAAACTCTTGCTTTTTGCCTTTTTTTTTTAAATAAACTTTTTTTTTTTCCAAGTGAAACTCTGTCTAAAAAAATATTGGCCCCAGGCATAGAAGGTTTTGCATAAATTCGTATGTGATGAATGGCTGATTTTAATGTTATTTGGGTATTTGTCAGAACCTAACAAATATACATGGTAATGGTGGTTCATAAACTTAAACATCTCAATATCCCCTTTCTTCTAGAAATAAATTACGTTTGTTTGCCCTGCCTGGAGTCCTAAGGTAGCCGACATTAGGAATATTTTAAATGTGATCATCCATCCAGCATGTCTTTCAGGCGCCACGAAGATTAAATGAAAGAATCATAAGATGAAGGTCTTTAACTTTTAATCCTTTTACAATGAACCCTTAGATAGACATGGGGGCAGGGTGCCTTCTATGTGAGTAATAATGCCTCTGTTCCTCTTCACTAGGTTAATGAATACCCTAAATGCCCCAAGATCTGATTTTCCCTCCCCCC